TATGCTTGAGTGTATAAACTGGGGGCAGTTGGGCAGGAGCAGCTGGTGACTGCTTGGGGATGGGCTGGGCATTGGTCAGGGGGAGTGAGCAATTGTATTGTGCAACACTTGTGTTTCTTGGGCTTTGTTCCTCTCTCTTTTTCCTGTTATTATTTTTGTTATTATTACAACAATAACAACAGCAATTATAATAATTTACTTTATTTCAATTATTAAATCATACTTAGCCCATGGGTTTTACCTTTTTTCCAGTTCTCCTCCCCATCCCACTAGGGAGGGTGGGGAGTAAACAAGTTGCTGCATTGTTGGTCTGTGTGTGTATGTCTAAGCCCTGAGAGGTTTTGGTGGTGGTCAGAATAGGTGCTCATGTGGCTCTCAGTTTGTTAGCAGGGGTTGTTCTGAAGCACAGAGAGGTTATCTTACCTTCTTGGTATGTGAGGAGTTAGGAAATGTGAACAAACCTCACTCATTTAAATAGAAAAAATAATTGAAGGTAGGGTGGCCTTTCATTGGTACGTGATCAGTCCATTGGCTGCAGGCATGTTCCTCCTGATCTACCACAGCAAAACTGAAAAGATTGCTCTCTCTTAATTAGAAAAAAGCACCTTTTAATCAGCCAGCACAGTGCTGACAGATGCAGTGCCTGAAAAGAGGCATGGAAAAAGAGGCCTGAAGCATATTGCAACCCTTATAATTTCAGAACTCTTAAGAGGAAGGGTCTCTGCTATTATTCAAGCACTCTTGTTACGTGGCTTCCCAGAGGAAAGGCTTAATTTGTCTTTTATCTCTGTTGTTCAGTGGCATCGTAGCCAAAGTGCTTTCCCTTCAATGTAAATTGATTCAAGGCCAGGCAACGTGTGAACAAGTGCATAGGCACCATGTTACAAAGGTCACCCAATGTGCTCTTGGCTACATGAAATAAACACTTAATAAGCAGCTCTGACTTGGGAATGTCATGGCAAGCAGATTTAAGTGCATATGTTCTTCCACACCCTTTCTTGAAACACATCTCAGCTGCTCTCCTGCTGTTCTGATATGTATGCTATGTGGTACCAGGCACAGTGAGCACTTAATCATTTTACAAGCAGCCAAATACAAATTACTAAGCCAATTAGCAAATACTTTAATTTACAGGATTTACACTGCAGCTTGGCTCTGTTCGTATGGACATGAGCATACTGGGCCCAGTTCGAGAAAGTAATTCGACATCTACCCAGGAGTGTAAGTGGCACTTCAGCAGAGGTTTAGACACTGTGCCCCAGCTTTGGGGGTGAGTTATTCTCCTAAGCAGGGCATAGACTAATGGACCAGGAGATCAGCTCCTGGTCATGCTACAGATATGCTCTGTGATATTGGCTGAATTGCTCAATCTGTGCTTTAAATTTAAATGAGAATGATGTATCTTTTTCACTCTTTTGTATATATTTAGATGTCAAATTCTTCAAGACTAGGTTGAAGGTCTTTACAACAGCTAAATTCATATATCTGAGCTGGGGAATAATATCCCTCTGCAATCAGAGGTGGCAGAGAAAGAATCTGCCCTCAGGTTGTTTAAACAGGCATCGGCTGTGAATCAGTCTCCAGAGGAAACACCATCAACCCCCTCTGTGTCTTAATGCAACAAAACCACTGTCTTGGCTGAGAGTTTATTACTGTTTAACTTGGGTTTATTTGGGAATGCTCTGATGTCCGTGAATAATAAGGTTAGTAGTAATAATAATTAGCAGCTTGAGGCATAATGCCATTTGTCCCAGAGTACTCAGAGGAGTGTAGTCACTTGCTCTGGAGATGGCTGAAATGCAACCAACTGGGATGAAACAAAGCTTGTGTTTAATACTGTGGAGTGAAGCTGTGTGACCTTTTAGGACAGAAATTGAGAACGTTGTCCTATCCCTCCAAGTTTGTGCACCAGCTTTTTCTGCAGAAGAAGGAGGATATTAGAATAGCTGGTTGCACCAGGCAATCGCTATTCTGGCCTAGTCCAAATGGGTTTACTTTAGGAGTGAAAGGAATTAGCCAACATTCACTTGCAAGACAAAACAGTAGGAAAAAAAAAGGCAGAAAAAAAGATCAAGAAGGCACCTCATCCATTCATGCAGAGATCTCAGTGTTCTCATATATTTCTTAATCGTACTCTTTCAGTTGCTCTAAATTATAGTTCAGCAAGGTATTAAACAGACATAACTTCAAACACAAGCAGAAGAAAAGGACACAAATGGGGCAATTCTAGGTACAATAAACCATGCCTGTCGTTCAGAGACCTTGCTCATTCTTGGACTGAAATTGCTGTTAAAACACAATTCATAAAAATGGCACTGTCTGATTCAGCAGTTCTTTAGCTTTTTACTCCTGGTATAGCTTTACAGAACAAGTGTAGTTAGGAAAGCATGTTATTAATTAAGGATTAGTCAGTTCTAGCTGGGCAAGTCAACTGGAGTCGGGAGCTTTCTCTGATAGCCTGGTCTGCCTACAGGTGTTTGTATTGCTGCTGCTAAGATGTGAGAAGGATCAAACAAACAAAAAGAAACTGCCAGTAGCTATTCAGACACCAGGTGAGGCAAGATGATGAAAAATGTAGGGAAACACTCCTTTCTCTAAGAAAGCCCCAAGGTCAGACTTGGAGAGCTAAGGTTAGTATAAAGCTTTTGGAAGATCGTTGTGCTGTTCACATTAGTGCCATGTTCCTGCCACCTGAATGGCTTTGTCCAGGTGCCACCCAGCAATCACTGAGAGGACAGACTGGCTTTATTGAAATGGACACTATTCCTGTCTGCATCTGTTTTGGCTGAGTGCAATGAAAATTGTGTCCCTTAGATACGTCTCTTTCATTAAAGATATTTTGGTTGAATTTGCTCTGCAGTGCTATCAAGGAAAAAACCCTGAATATTAAAATTTATTACTTAGTCAAACTGTCCAGTTTTTGCAAGACTAGAACAAGGAGCTGAAATCTGCATTATAAGACTTCTAAAATCAATGCATTTAAATAGCATGCTTAACAACAGGATAGAAACTTCAAGTCCCTAGTTATGAGAACTTTCTCCTGAGGGTATTGTAAGATTGGAGGCCTTGTCCAGGTGTAGGCTTCTTCCGTGATATCCCATGTCCTGGTGTTGCATCAGTATTTTGGTGAGAGTAGCTATGTGGTGTTCTAATGGAGCTGTCAGATCTATTACTGGATGAGAATTTATTTCCATTTTGAAATTTTAGCTGTGTGTATGCTTAGTGCCTCTGGCCTGCTGAATGCACCTGCAAGATCTAATATTTAAGTCTGATGCTAATGCTAAAGAGTTAATAACAAATTATTTGGGAGAGTATGTAGCCCTTGGAGACAGAATAGGTTTTCAGACTGTACAAAAGAACTGCTGGATCTTCGCTGATAGAACTAGGAGAGAGGATGAAGATATTTTTTGTGTGTGTGTGTCTACTTCTCTGCATTCTTTCAGAAGGTATAATAGTCACTTACACATTTTCTTCAGATATTGCTAATGGGTGTCATTCTTTGGGTAACCAGTCCCAGTACAGAATAGGATGGTGCAAATCAGAGCAAGTCAGAGCTACATCAGCTGAATATTTGGTACCAGGAGTTTGACTTCCCAAGCTCCCCATCATCCTGTCCTTCTTTATTGACAGTCAGCAGCATTTGAGACCTTTTGATTTATTTATAGAACTAGAACAAAGTACACAGGCAACTCTATCATGACTTAGGTGATATACAAGTGATAGATAACAGAAGGGGGAAAAATTGCTCAAGCCTTGTAGTGATCTTGTGACCCAATATGAATCTTTCATATGTCGAATTTTTAATTACTTTGTTTGCTTGGGGAGAGTCTGAATACAGACCCTAAACAAGGCTCTTTAGAAGAGTCCTTAGGACCTTTTCATCACTATAGGAGCTTTCCATTGGTTTCTCTGACTTCACTGACCTAAGACTGGAACTTGCATTTTCACCAGGTGGGGTAGGGGAATGTCTGTATACTGGCACCTCTGCAATGGACAAAAGTGTATCATTAAAAATGCACTTTCTACCATTTAAATAGAGCCTCTCAGAGAAACATGGTACAGTTCACCTTGTACGATAGAAATGTGTCTTCTCTGGGAAATTGTGGTGACAGGGATGTTGGAAAAGGATCACAGCTCTTTAGACCTCCTGACAGATGGGATGCAAAAATATGAAGTTAGATGTGGCCAAAAGCCTCAAGCACAGAATCCAGTCCATATGGCTTAATATGTCAGCTGATTCCTGGTAACTGCATTGTCTTAGCAAGCAAAAAAGTGAGATAAATCCTGTTGATTAAGCCTCATCCATAGTCGTTTATGCAAATGATGTTTCTTCCTATTTGTGGTGGGATATGAACATTCGGAAGAAGGTGACAGGAGCTCAGCTGATGTGTGGTATCTCACACTACGGTGACTTCTGTCAGGAATTCCCTCGCTTTGCCTGTGAAGAGACGATGACAGGAGGACTGGGAATATCTGCAGTCACTGCCTTGATTTCCCTGCTGGTTTTCTGTGCAGAGAGATTCCGCTGAGAAGTATTTGCCCTCTTCTCTTCCATGAAGTCCTGAATGGGAATGCCCACAAGGACAGGCCTGGGGGAGCCTACTATAGGAGTCAGCTTTGCTCCAGCTGGCTTCGGTCCAATCCCAGCTTTCTCAGAATGCAGTGAAAAACATGACTGCAGCCCATATGGACTGCAACTAAAGCCTGTTGATGGTTTGCAAACAGCCCTTTGTGGTCAGGATTTCATTGTGACTCTTCATTATGGATTCTGGAATATTTGACACCAGGACCTGCTCAGAACTTTGTTACCAGGTTCACTAAGATACTGATGTACAACTCGGTGAACAGGCATATAACTGTTTTTGTATTCTGTGGAGAGTAGTCTAGGAAAAACTTTTGTTTGTAGACATGAATGACAAAAGCTATTACTTGCTTTAATAACTTTTCCCTTCCTTCTTTGGTAGCCTAATAGTTTGTAATTTTTCTGCTTGTTCATGCAGGAACTACCTCTTCAGACTTAGTCTACACAACGTTTCTCTTATTCAGGTATGTTCACTTTTTACTCTCTTGTTTTATTTGACTTGTTAATGAAAGTTCTGTAATATTTGATGTACATTTTCAGAAGTCTATATAGTGTAAATTTGCCCAAAGTGGTGGAGCAGGGAGAAGACAAAGTGAGAACCAGATGCTTATTCCCACTCCACAGATAATGCTGGGAGAGGGGCTCTCCTACACTTGCCCACTTGGATGGTGCTCTCTGGTTTTGATTCTTGAGTGTTTGGGTGGTAATGGGATCTGCCAAAAATATGGCATCTTAAGGAACAAAACAAGTAGTGTGACTGATACATGCTTAAACACAACAGTCAATAGAAATCCTCGGCTTTCTTTAGAGATGTCAGCAACATGGAGAAGCTTTAACTACTCTCATCAATCCTCATTTTTAGCCCTTGTTAGCCTTTGTGAACATGGATTGCTGAGGACCTCTGCTTTGCTGAATGCATTACTAAACCCACGATTGGACTTGCAAGCATTCAAGAGGGAAAATGGGTTGAAAAATGTATGTTACCCATGCCTTTATCAAAGCAAAGCAACTGGAGTTTGAAAGGGCTTGCAAATATCCAGCAGTATTAGGACTTTGCTCTCACTGCACTGAATCTGGTATTGAAAGATGTGGCAAAAACTGTTAGTGGAAACCCCAGTTGCTTATCTTTAAATAAATAAATACTTATACTTTGGGATATTTACCATCTTCTGTGATTGCTAGAGCACCAAAGATATATTCAGCATTTCTCAGAGAGTCTGAGGGGCCTTACTCCTGTACCTGACCATGCAAAGAAGCCGTTAGAGTAGTACTGCCAGCCATTCCGATGTGCACAAGCCTTTTGCTATTAGTAAGAGTTACAAGTGTAGATGGAGAGAAGAAAAGATGTTTAATGGTTGTAAAATGCATTGAATCTTCCTTTAAAAGGAAAACAAAGTCCAGAGTTACCAATGACAACAATAAAGAATTAGAGAAGCTGATACTCCCATTTGGCAGTAGGTTCCCTTTGGAGAACCATATTAGCATGGCTGGAAGGTTTCCAGCAAGCACACAGGAGAGGGAAGTCTCTGTAGTTACGAGAGGTGTAATACCTTCTGCAGTGCCTGTTATCACACTGCCTGACACAGCCTCTTGTGCTTGTCAGATGAGGGATCCCCTTCAATGAAACACAATTGTGAATCTCCTTAATACACTTCTGAAGTCAGGCTTGGCTCGGGCCCTTTTCAGTACAGTGATTTTCTTTTTCTACACTGCAAAACATGGGAAGTCTCCTTCTATGGCACTGGAGGTTGCTGTGAGATCTCCGGTTAACATAATGAGCTTAGTTTGCTCCTGCTTTCTGGGTGTATCCGGTCACTTTGCCAAGACTTTTTGCATGACAAAGAGAGCATGGAATTATGTTGACACACGTGTTGGGAATGATGGAAGCAATTGTTTCCCGACCTAATGGTTGCCTAAGTAGCTGCTTGGCTAGTCTCCATAAAGCACATGATGCAGCTTAGAGGCACCCGCTCCCACCTTCCCTTCGCCGTGCATCATTTTAAAGATCAGATCAGAAAGGAAGACAAGAAACACAAAGAGCTTGCATTTAGTTCTACAGGGGTGCAGTTCAAGAAATAATCACGATGTTAATTTGCATTATTTTGTATCTCCTCTTTGCTTTTAAGTAAAATACAGTGTGGATCTTGTCAGGCCTGATTTGGGCTAGTTTTTCATCTTGAGATTGTGTTCTGATTTATTTCTGCTCACGGGATTTCATGCTGCCAGTGGTGCTAAATCTGCTTCACGGTGCAGGTTTGTGCTGACAGATGTCTGCTCCCTTCCATTTGTACTTCCATGAGGTGGGGGCAGAATCATGAGGAGCACAACCTACGAGACAGCAGGATATGCTGGTTGTGGGACAAAGCCTGGCAGTGTGTGGAATGTACCTCTCCAGACAGGGTTCGGTGAAGTTTAAAGCTGTGTTTTCATGGGTGTTCTTGTGCCATCAGTTGTATCCCTAAGCTGCACTGTCCCTGTGGGGAAATGGGGAGGGCACATTTCAGCCCCACAGTTGTCACAGAAAGGAGGGGAGGCCAGGGCGTTCCTGTGAAGGAGATTACTCTGAACTGTCTTTTCAGTATGGGTGGCAGCAGCATCTCAGAGGAGCAATATCCCAGTGCCAGTGCTCGTTAGCACAGCAGATTCAGTACTTCAGTCTCTCATTCTCCAACGGGTAGATTTACTAGCTCACTCTACCTAATGCATGTTTTCCTTGACAGTTATCTGTTCTTTAACCAGAAAATGAATATTTTCTGCCATTGAGCAGACCATAATGTTTTTCATCACAGCATGACTCTATTCATTGCTTTCCAATGGGAATATATTATTATTTTTTTGGACTATAATCCCCTTTATGAATATTGCATATCATAAACCCAGTGCTAACCATGCCATTCCTCCCTGATTTTAGAAAGGTTTTCAGCTCCAACACTTTCAAAGACTGTATTCTTTCCTTATACCTGTTGAATGACAGTGGACACCTCTCATTTAAGCCCGATACAAAATCAGTTAAAACAAGGAGAAGTTTTCCATCAACTTCAAGGATCATTTTATGAAACAGTCACTCTTGAAAACACATTTTCGGTATCTTCAGTTTCAGAAGCTAAAATTATTGTATTAATCCTGAGTCTGTGTTGGACTGCCATTAATATAAACTAAATTTTGTAGTCTCCACAGCATAAGAACACTGGAGCATCATGTAACCAAGCCACATAGTTTGGATAGGAAGTTATTGTTTTGGAATTGCAGAAGACTAAAAGACAAGAGTTAGTATTGTATGGGCAAGTTACCAATTAAGAGCTGTGTAAAAAAGAAATCATTAGCCCATAGAAGAATTTTGATTTCAAAGGAGTGAAGGAAGAGAGGTCAATTTTAGGATGTGTCAGCTCTTGGGCCATATTATAAAGGGGTAATTTTTTTTCTTTTCTTAGCTCTCATCTGCTCTACCATGTGCTGATGTTTCCTCTTTAGTTAGGATCTTCTATTGGTTCTGCTGAAGTTGTTTCTCCAAGACTGTAGTCCTGAGCTTTTACATGAGAACTACTGAGTGGAGCACAGGAGAAACTGAAGCAGAACAAGCTCATTTCCTGCTCCACAGAACCAAATGTCCTGACTTATCAGAGATTTTTCCCCTTCCTCTCTTTGTTTCTGAAACATGTTTCAGAAATTCCATTTGGAACCTGAGAAACTTTTCACCAAATGAGTTTTAGTTGCATGAGAAACTTCGGTGGTGGTTAATTTTTTTGTGAAAAACAGTTTTGACTGAATTTCAGTATCCATAAGGAAATTGAGGCCAAGGTTTTGTGGGATCACTTGTGATTTTGTCTACCTCTTTTTCTTTCCAAAATTGAGACACCTTGGTAAAGAATTACCAAAAATAAGCATCTTGAGGTGCCCCAGGTGAGGTGTCCAAAAGTACCTGTTAATACTGGAAACTTTGGCATGTAGTATTCAAATTCTTGCAGCAGTCAAGAGGCCTAGTTTTAAAATGGATACTGTTCCCTAAATCTTTAGCATCTCTTTTAAACAAAATCTCTGCAATGTGTTTCGTGTCCATCTTTAAATTGCCATCTTACATGCATTGTAAACTCTCAGTGTGAGACATTTTATAGAATGCATTTTTTAAATGATGTGCACTTGGAGCACATGCTGTTTAATTTATGCATCAGTCTGAAACAAGGTTAGCTCCTAATCTGCAGCTTTCATGGTGAGGCCATAGAAAAATCAGTTTTATACTGGCGTTGATAATTAATAGAGTAGGTGGAAGGGTCATTTTAAAAACAGAAGCCTTTGAGCAAATTTTTAAAAATGCACAAGGCTGATTAGGACCTCTTATCAAGGAATGCTATTCTCTGGTGTGTGTTAAAAGCAGGCTACTTGCTGGCATTTCATAAATCCCAGTGCAGTGCCTACCCCCTGTTCACCCTGATTTTACCTGGATCTTAGAGTTCTCAATTGAACTGAGTAGGAAATTACTTTTTCAACCTTTTTGAGATGCCAAGATTTCCAACCTTTTTTGCACTGAGATGAAAACAAGACTTCTTGTAAAATCTGAAAGAGAAGGAGACAGACACGTGGTTACTTTGGATGCAAATACTCTGGGTCAAGTTATTTTCTGAAATATCAAAGGAGAGCATTTGAATGTGCATTTCTCTCATCTCAAACAACTGACCTGATTTGTTTGGTGTATCCCTTTCCCTTTCCCTTCCCTTCCCTTTCCCTTCTCTCTGGATCTAAGAAGTCCTTCTGGACTCTCTAAAGTTTAATAGAAACTGTTATAATTTCTAAAGATGTTTTGGTTTCAATTAATTATCTTTTTTTTTACTGAAAAATCTCTTACTAAAAAGTTTCTAACCAGACTTGTGAAGCTTGTGTGCTAATACGTTGTATCAGGTTAGTAGTATTTAAACATTTAAAATACTTCAAGAATCTGTACTGTATTTTAACAGACTATGAAAGAGTAAATGACTCCCAATTGCAAAACTATTTGGAAGACACAAGTTATTTCTTCTGCTAAGAAAGACAAAATAATTTGAGATTTAACTATGTTTTAATTGACAATTTAATATTTCTTTTTTCCTGAGGACAAAAACTGAAGAGAGGATTAAATTCAGAGAGAGAGCGTGTTAGTTCCCTAGTAGTCATAAACATGAATTTGGAAGGATTCCCTTTGGAGTTACACACTGTCCGGCACCACCTGGATCTACAATTACCCCATTTGCAAAACATGAAAATGTTACAAAAAACGCGACTTTATTTCCTTCTGAAATTTGGCTCCACATTTCTAAGTAAGATCCCCTACATTCACATGGGCACTTTGGAGAGTGGTACCCACTCACTAGGACAAAACTTGATGAATTTCTCAGTCCCGCTGAGGCATAACACTTAAACCCAAGCTTATAGTTATCCACGTGTTGAGGCAGTATCTGCTCTTAAGGCTTGATCTGAAGGTTACTGAAATCAG